AGATAGCACATATTCATCAATTACGCGCGAGACATTAAACATCCACGCGCCTATCTCAGGGAGTGATTTAAGAGGTTTCCAGTCTTCTATTCCGTGGTCTCTTCTACCATCTAGAATCCTTTTGGCACCATGACAGCCCAACCGACAGCCTTGTCTTTCATCCAGTGATCTTCCTTACTTGTCCTCCACATGAGCTTTATTCATAGATAAATGCACAGTAGGAGAAAGCCTACTATGCTCACTCAGCATTGAGCCATTAGCTCTGGACATCTGCTCGTCCCTGGATAGAGATAAGCTTGGCAACCTGACTTTTAATGATATACACTGGGGTGTTAGAAGATAAGGAGGATAGAGGGGAGTATTGCTCCATCCTTGGAGGTGTTCAAGGCCAGACTGGATGGGGTCCTGGGCAGCCTGGTCTAGTCCAGAATGGGGAGGTCGGTGGCCCTGCACGTGGCAGGGATGGTGGAGATCCATGATCCTTGAGGTCCCTTCCAACCCTGGCCATTCTGTGATTCTGTGATTCTGTGATCCAGACGTGTGCCTGATGCATTTCAACCTAATCCCAGAGTGAGACAATTCAGCTCCGTGTGGAGTCTTTCATCATTATGTTTCCTTTGCTGAGGGTCTCTCTTCAAAGCAGTACAGCCGTACAACACAATTTCTAGTATGTAATGCTACATCCATAACTATTAGCTACATCTAAAAGCTACTACACTTTTGCCAGTGAGAACTAATCACCTAATAAAACATGTCAACAACAGTACTTCTAAAAATACAAAACTAAAATATATGGTATATCTGCTCTTCCAGATCAGCCATTTCTAAAAACCCATTACAAAATATATTGTGGCCTACTTCTTCAAATCAAGTCCAATCGAAGCAAAGCTGTGGATTTTGATGTTTGCATGTGAAACAAATTGCATCCCCTTGACATATATCATTCTTGCTGACCCAGAAGTGGGAGGCCAAACAGCAGATGCAATGGGTGTTGCGTTTCAGCAGTGGTAACAGGGCCTTAATGACAAGCCATGTTCTGGATGGAAATGCACGGCTGTCACAAACAAAATGAAGAGTGTCTGGATCTGCACATCTGCTCAAATTGGTGGACTGTGATCAGGGAACTGCACGTAGAGATGAACGGTTGCTTCAGTGCATTGAAAACAGTGCAGTATAGCAAACTTTGCACAGGATGGGTCCCATGAACACTCACACAGGAACAGAAAGAACACTGTACGCCAATTAGCAAGAAACAATTGAACCCAGGTGAGGCTCCAGGTGTCAGTTTCCTGGGTCATCATTACCAGTGATGCAGTGTGGTGTCAAGACTACGAGCCAGAGTCAAAAGAGCCAGAGTCCATGCAGTGGCAACATGAGAATTCCCTATGGAAGAAAAATTTCAAGATGCAGTCCTCAGTGGGCATACCAATGTGCACTGTGTTTTGGGATAGGAAAGGAAGGGGTGATCCTTCTGGATTTGCTAGGACCTGGGCAATCCACCAACTCCTACCACTCAGTCTCAGGACAGACAATGACGAAGGCTTGAATTTCCAGAATCAGGTCAGAGAAGACCACTATCTTTCTCTTTCAACACCGTAATGCTAGGTTCCATACCAATAAGACAACTGTGGTGGAGAGAGCGAATTTTGACTTTACAGTCCTGGCACACACAACAGATCGTCCTGTTTGGGCGCCTTCATTCTTCTGTCTGCTCAGACTGGTGAAAGATGAACTGTGTGGGCAACATTTCCTGGTCAACTGTACCATCATAGCAGCTGTGAAACAGTGGGCTGCTTCCACTGGTGCAGGTATTTACAAGCATGAAGTGAAAGCTCCTGTAAATTGCTGGTAAAACACATAGCTAATATTGGTGACTATGTTGAAAAACAGTGTTTGGGAGCTGAGAATCTGCTCTATCAATGAGTGTTATTGTGCTCTTTCTATCTCTTGTAGCTTTCATGGAAACAAAGACGAGGCACTGCAATCAGAGCAACTTATCTACACTGCAGGGCTTTTGTTTGCCCTGCTCGCTGCACCTCTACAGACCTCAATGTTTGGATTTCATTGCTCCAAAATGCACCTGAAAGTACATCAGAGCTATTCATCCACTGCTTCGCTCACACTCATGGAAAGGGCCCATGGCTGTTGATGGAAGCAGGCAATGCTGTTGCTAGAAGTGCCCAAATGCTTTTGAGCACCCAAGAGAAAAAGGGAAGCAGGAGCCAATTCAGACATGCTGCAGGTAGAAAGGGGGCCAGAGTGGCCAAACTGATTTGGTGACCAGAAATATGCCAAACATCATCCTCAGGTTGCAACACTATTTTTTAATTTCAGGAGAATGAAAGGAGTGGTGAAGTGAAAGAAGATTGTGCTGAATTAACAGAGCAATCTGTAATGTGCAGCCATGACCTCTCACTGTCCAGGAAACAGCCAGAGCCACCCAAGTGCCTGCCAGCCCAGTGGCTCCTGCAGATTTGACAGTGTTCAGTAAGGGGTATTTTTGTTAAAGCACAGGAGGATTTCCTGTGCCTGTGTGAATGGCACAAAAGTAGCGGGCTGAGTCGTGGGGGTGCAGGGCACATAAAGACAGAGATGCCACAGCGTGGTCATTGTCTCGGGAGGCTGTGGCTCGATGCTCCATCTCGGGGCTGAAGGAAGTGTAAAGGGAAAAGCTGCTAGCGTAAGACAGCCAATCGAGAATGCCACTGCGTGCCTGACGGTACCAAAAAACATGGTAGCTTTTGAAGTTGGAGCCAAATCCCTGGCAGGAGAGGGGCACAGAGTCTCCGGGTTCTCGGAGACCACCTCCAGCTTCCACAATCCTGAGCTGTGCACACACCCCTGCAGAACGAATGCGCCATGAGATGCAGCATAATGGAGCTAATGGAAGGAAGAAGTTTCCCAGCCACCCTAATGCCCCAGCCTGGAACAGACAGAGAATTGTAGAATCATAGAATGCCTTGGGTTGGAAGGGACCTCCAGGGTCATCAAGTTCCAACCTCTCTGCTACAGGCAGGGCTGACAGCCACTAGATCAACTACTAGATCAGATGGCCCAGGGCCCCATCCAACACGGCCTTAAACACCTCCAGCGATGGGGCATTCACAACGTCTCAGGGCAGCCTGTTCCAGCAGGCTGCTCACCACGCTCTCAGTAAAGAATTACCCTCTCACATCCACTCTAAATCTCCTATCCTTCAGTCTAAAAACATTCCCCCTTGTCCTATCATCTACCCATGTAAGAAGTTGATTTCCTTCACATTTATTAACTCCCTGAAATACTGGAAGGCTGCAATGAGGGTCTTCCCACGGTCTTCTCTTTTCCAGGCTGAGTAAGACCAGCTCCTTCAGCCTGTTTTCATAGCACACTCCCTCCAGGCCTCTGGATGGCATCTCTTCTTTCCGGCTGCATCAACTGCACCGCTCAGCATGATGTCATCAGCAAGCACACTGAGGGTGCACTCAATCCCATCAATTATGTTACAGAGGACTAGACCCAAGATGGACCCCTGCAGGACACCTTTCATTACCAGCCTCAACCTGGACATAAAAACAAATCTCTGGCTGCAACCTGCCAACCAATTCCTTATCCAATCAATAGTCCACCCCTCAAATTCTCCTCTCTCCAATTTAGAGATAAGGATGTGGAGGGGGACCATCTCAAAGGCCTTGCGGAGTCCAGATAGATTACATCAGTTGCTTTCCCTTTGTTGATGCCATCACTCCATCACAGAAGCACACCAGATTGATCAGGCGTGTCCCTCCTTTGGTGAAGCCACGTTGGCTATCTTGGATCACCCGCTTATCCCTCACGTGCTTTAACATATCTTCCAGGAGGAGCTGTTCCATGATTATCTCTGGCACAGAGGTGAGGTTCACCAGCCTGTAGTTCCCACAGTCCACCTTCCTCTCTTCCTTGTAAATGGGCATGATGCTTCTTTTGTTGTTGTTGTTGTTGCTTTTTCCCCCATTCCCAACAGATTTTGCCTGACAGCCACAACTTCCACAATATGATGGAGATTGACTTGGCAAGCACCTCAGACATCTCCCAAAGGACACTGGGATGTATACCAGCCAGCCCCACGGACTTGTATGCATTCAGTCTCATGAGCCAGTCTTGGACTTGCTCTGCCCTTACAGTGTGGGGGACTTCGCTACCTCAGTCCCACCTAGAGGTTCAGGTGCAGGGATGTGAATTTCAGAGATGGAAGAATCCTGGCTGCCACTGAAGACTGAGGCAAAGAACTCACTGAGTACCTCAGTGTTCTCTATATATGTTCTAGCCTGTTCTCCACTCTCATTTAGCAGGGCAGGTACAATCTCGTAGGCCCAACTCTTCTGACCCAGGCACGAGTACAATCCCTTCTTACAGTTTTTAGCATTCTTTGCCAACGTCAGTTCCATCTGTTCCTTTGCTTTCCCAATCCCACCGCAAGCTGCAGATGGTTTTGCTACCACCAAAACTGCAGCAGCCCTGCATCTCTCAGGCTCCTGCTCAGAGCTCAGCCAGGGCCACTCCCACAGCATCCGTCTGCTTTTGTGACTCAGGAGAATGAAAGGAGTGATGAAGTGAAACGAGACCTTGCAAAAACTACAGGATCACCTGTGACATCACCTCACTGTCCAGAAGCAGCCCAGAGATGCTCCAGCTCCTGCCAGCTCTGTGGATCTGCAGCCATGGCTGTGTCCAGAAAGGGGATTTTTGTTAAAGCTCTGCAGGATTTCCTGTTCTCGTGTCAACCGCACAGAAGTAGCGCGCTGAGTCGTGTGGGCGCAGGGCACGGAGAGACAGATAGGACACAGATCGGGAATTGTCTCGAGAAACCGACACTCGATCCTCCAACTCTGGGCTGGATCTAACATATGAGCCGGTGTCAATGAAGGACAGCCACACGATATGGCTGCTGAGTGCCTGACGGTACCACTGAATAGCATAACTTCCAAAGCTGAAGCCATATCCACGACAGGAGAGCTGCACAGACTCCCCTGGTGCTCGCACACCTCCACCAGATGCTTCCAGTCTCCACTGTGCACACACTCCTGTAGAAGGACAGCATCAGGAAGCAGGCATTGCACATCCATGGCAGGAGGACGTTCCCCACAGCCCAGACAACAACTGCCATCAACTCAGAGCTGTGAAGCTCCTCTCTCGTGCCGCAGCCCCAGGCCAGGGGCGCTGCCCCAGCCGCCCTCCTCCTCGGGGCTCAGCCAGGGCCGCTCCCGCAGCATCCGCGTCCCCGCGCAGCCTCCCTGTGCCACGCACGACAGCCGCTGCCCGGCCCCGAAGGCGAGATCCGGGCCTCCGCGCGCCCGCCCGCGGGGCGGCAGCAGGAGCCGCGCCCGGCCCCGGCCTCGCCGCCCTCCGTGCCCGCTTCTCTCTCACCCGCCGGCCCCAAGGCCAAGGCCAGCAGCCACGGCCCCAGCCCGCCCGCCATCGCGCCCCGCCGCGCCGCCGCCGTATGCCCGGGAGGCGGACGCCAGCGGAGCGGGGCCGCGCTCGGGCCGCCCCTCGTAGGGGCCCCGGTGGGGCGCCACACCCCGCTCCTCTCCTCTCCTCTCCGCCCGGCCCCGCGGCCCCGCGGCCCCTTCGGCGGAGGACGGGGCGGTGCGGGGGGCGGAGGCGGAGCGCGGTGCCCCGGCACTCGGAGCTGATGGCCGTGGGCTGATCACCGCGCAGCCCTCCGCGCACTTCAGGCCCGGGCCGAGGCCGCACGCAGCACGGCTGCCCCACGCACGGGCTCTTGGCCCGCAGCCTCTCCTCGCACGTGCCTCCCGAGCTCCGCACCGACATCCCTCCATGGCTTCTGTTTCCTTCCTTGACCCAGCACCGGGACGCACCTTGCAGAAACTGCCCTCGAAGTCTTTTAACCCATTCTCCTCGTTTCAGCAATGTCTTGATGCCCTCCACTCCCCAGAAAAGCTCCAGGCTCTCCTTTCTCGATCTTCACACACCATCTGTCTCTTGATGGGCTGCGAATATGGAGCGATGGAGGGGAGGAGTGGAGAAGTAGACAACACTGGTGCTGTAGGGCATCCCGGACTGTCTCTCACCATCGTCCCAGCAGGGTGCAGAAATAGAGCACGCTGTCTTCCAGATCCAGCCCAATGATGACCAGTCTCAGCCTGGCAGAAGAACCTCTGGTGGGCAGAAGGTCCTGTGTGGCTTTAGGAGCCTCCCCAGCCCTTGCTCTAGGGCAATTACTGCAGGTGATTGCTGAGCTGCTGGCACTACCAGGCCATGCAAATGTAGGAAGCATTGGAGCTTCCTACACAAAGAACGCAGGCTGCTCCAGAAGCAAAGCCACCTTTTTTTATGAAGCTGGCCCACAATTTCAGAAGTGGATGTTGGTGGTACAGCTGTAGAGGCTGAACCTTCTTGCCAATATTCCATTATACTTCCTTGCTGTGCGACAGTTCCCAGCAGAGCGGCAGTCTGACAAAACATTGTCTGACATGGGAATGCATGTGAAGCAAAGGTGTGGATTTTCGTATTTCCATGTGGAACAAACTGCACCCCTTTAACATTGCACGTGCCTTCCCAGATGGCCTCCCTGCTCTCCCCTGACATGACATCATGTAGAAATCAGCCTGTAAGCCATCAACTCTTCTCCTCATTATTGCTCCATGTAGACTGCCTGTGCTCTACCAGAAATCTCTGGGCTCCCCTGTCTTGTCCTCATTAAGGCTACCTTAGATAGTGCTAGTGAGTCTGCTGCTTTGCCCATGCTGCAACCTGGTGGAAGGCTACTGCCCCAAAAAATGTGGAGATGTAGACTGAAGTCCCAGGCACACAAAAAAGGAAGGCATCTGTCAAGAAAAATGTGCAAATTCTGTCAGATCCCACTACAACATGATAGTGCATAGGCCTGTGGCTGCAGGGAGTGCCAGGGCCTGGTCTTTGCAATGCAAGGTGATGGAGACAGCGCTTGTGTTAGATACAGCATGCTAAATAATGTGCTCAACCTTGTGGTTGACCTCAAGGAGGAGGTGGAGAGGCTGAGCTGCATTAGGGAGCGTGAGAGGGAGGCTGATTGGTGGTGCCAGTCCCTGTCGGTCCTGAGATCTAGGCAGCCAGCTGAGGCTCCACGTGGAGCGCATCTCCCCCTACCGCCTTACAGACAGGTAATAGAGGGGAACAGGCAGGCAGGCTGTGTTCCTGCTACGCTGAACTCCCTGCTCACTCCTCTCCCTCACAACAACGGTGAAGAATTGGGGCAGGGGGCACAGGGCAATGGCAAAAGGTCCCTGCTCGGCGATGCAGGAAGTTGGTGGCTGTGGAAACAGTCAGGTCAAGAGGGCATTAGGGTTTCTCCCATTCAAAAGGTGGCCCAGCTCAGGTGCTTCTACACTAGTGCACGCAGCATGGGTAACAAACAGGAATAGCTGGAGGCCACTGTGAGGTTGGAAAACTACGATATAGTCACTATCACAGAAACGTGGTGGAATGACTTGCACAGCTGGAGTGCTGTGAGGGATGGTTACTGACTGTTCAAAAGAGAAAGGCAAGGCAAGAAAGGTGGAGGTATAGTGCTCTATGTTAAGAAGGAATGTGAATGTGTGGAAATCCAGGATGAGTTGAGAGCTTAAGGTCAGAATAAAATTAATGGCCATTAATTGGGTGACATCATTGTTGGTATCTGCTGCAGTCCACCCAACCAGGATGAAAGGTGGATAAGATACTTCATCATCACTTGGGTGCAGTCTCAAGGTTCTCCTTGTTCTCATGGGGGACTTCAAATTCCTGGGCATCTGCTGGATTTATTATACAGCAGATAGGGAACAGTCCTGGAAGTTCCTAGCGTGTGTGAGAGGTAACTTCCTGACACAGCTGGTGAAGGAGCCAACAAGGGGAAGCAGAATCCTGGATGTGCTGTTAGTTAACAGAGGAGGTCTTGTGGGGGACGTAAAGGTTGAAGGCTGTCTGGGGCGAAGTGATCATGAGATGCTGGATTTCTCCATCCTTCTTGAACCACAGAGGGAAGTTAGCAGAACTGCCACCTTGGACTTGCAGAGGGCAGACTTTGGCCCTTCATAATCCGTGATGAAATGGTTTTGGACCTACTCCAAAAGCTGGATGCTCACAAGTCCATGGGACCAGACAAATTGCACTCGAAAGTGCTGAGGGAGTTGGTGGATATAGTTGCCAAGCCATCCATCCTTTGGCAGTCCTGGCTAACTGGGAATGTCCCCGTGGACTGGAGAGTGGCAAATGTGACACCCATCATCAGAAAGGGCCAGGAAGATGATCCTGGTAGCTACAGACCTATCAGTCTCACCTCGGTGCCACAGAAGGTTATGGAGTGGATAATCTCAGGAGCCATCATGGATCAATTAAAGGTCAACCAGGGGATCAGACCCAGTCAGCATGGGTTTATGAATGCTTGATCCTGTTTGATAAACCTGATTTCATTCTATGACAAGGTGACCAGTATAGCAGATGAAAGTAAGGCTGTTGATGTGGTTTATCTGGACTTCAGTAAAGCCTCTGACACTGTCCCCCACAACATCCTCGTGGAGAAGCTGGCTGCCTACAGTTTAGATGCTCCTCTGGGTGAAACACTGGCTGGATGGCTGGGCCCAAAAAGTTAAATCCAGTTGGCAGCCAGTCACGCGTGGTGTCCCCCAAGGCTTCATACTGGGTCCACTTCTATTTAACATCTTTGTTAATGATTTTGATGATGAGATTGAGTACACCCTCAGGAAGTTTGCAGTTGACACCATTTTGGGAGGGAGTGTTGATCTGCCAGATGGGAGAAAGGCACTATGGAGAGAACTGGATAGACTGAAATGATGGGGCAAGATAAACTGTATGAGTTTCAATAGGGCAAAGTGTTGGGTCCTGCATTTTGGTCAAGACAACTCCAGGCAACCCTACAGGCCTGGGGAGGAGTGGCTGGAAAGCCTGACAGAAGGTACCTCGGTGTACTAATGGACAGTTGGCTGAATTTTGAAGACAGGCTGAGGGATCTGGGCTTGTTCATCTTGAAGAAGAGAAGGCTGTGGGGTGACCTCATTGCAGCCTTTCAGTACCTAAAGGGAGCCTACAAACAGGAGGGGAGTCAACTCTTTGAAAGGGTAGATAACAACAGGACAAAGGGAAATGGTTTGAAGTTGAGGGAGGGAAGATTTAGGTTGGATGTCAGGGGGAAGTTCCTTACTATGAGAGTGGTGAGGCTGGAACAGGCTTCCCAGAGAGGCTGTGGATGCCCCGTCACTGGTGGTGTTCAAGGACAGATTGGTTGGGGCCCTGGGCAATGTGGTCTAGTAATAAATGGGGAGTTTGGTGGCCCTGCCTGTGGCAGAGGGGCTGGAGATTCATGATCTTTGAGGTCCTTTCCAATCCAGGCCGTTCTGTGATTCTGCGATTCTGTGAATTTGAGCCAGCAGTGTGCCCAGGTGGCCAAGAAGGCCAATGGCATCCTAACTTGTATCAGGAATGGTGTGGTGAGCAAGACTAGCAAAGTCATCCTGTCCCTGTAATCGGCACTGGTGAGGACCCACCTCGAGTTCTGTGTTCAGTTTTGGGCAACTCGATCCAGAAAGGAAATTGAGGTGCTGGAGCAGGTCCAAAAAAGTACAACAAGGCTCATGAAGGGCTTGGAGAATATGGCCTACGAGGAGAGACTGATGGTACTGGGGCTGTTTAATCTGGGGAAGAGAAGCCTGAGGGAAGACCTTATTGCTCTCTTCAAATACCTGAAAGGAGATGTCAGCAAGAGTGGGGATGGTCTCTGCTCACTGGTGACAGGCGACAGGACAAGGCGAAATGGCCTCAAGATGTGCCAGGTATGGTGTAGGTGTGAAATCAGGAAAAAAATCTTTACAGAAAGCATTGTTAAGCACTGGAATGGGCTCCCCAGGGAGGTGGTTGAGTCACTATTCCTGCATGTGTTTAAAAAACGTTTGGATGTGGTGCTCAGGGACACGATTTAGCAGAGGGTTGTTAAGAGTTCGGTGGTATGGTTAGGTTGTGGTTGGACTTACTGATTTTTAAGGACTCTTCTTACCTGTGAAATTCCACTATTTTATGATTCTATGATTCTCACGCCATCCGTTTTGTGCTGAGCACTGAACAGGGGAGGGGAGGAGGGAAGGAGTGGACGATGCTGATGCTGTCAGGGCATCCCAGGCAGTCCCTCACTGTGGTCCAAGCTTGCTGCAGAAATTGAGTGCACTGTCTTCCAGCTCCAAACCAGCAAAGACCGGGTACCAAAGATCTCATCAGACTGGCACAAAAACCACTTGAATTAGAAGAATGTATAACTCCATCTCTCCAAGCCAGTCTCCTTGGTGAAAGAGGCTGGTTTGGCATAGATGAAGGCTGGTTTAGCAATAGAGATCAGTATATTCGTTTAAGGATCAGTATCCTACATTAGCAGAAAGAATCAGTGAGTGCTACATCTACAACTTTCCAATTTACCTTCGCTTGCTGTGAGTACAGCCATGTTTTTTTCTCAACAATCCTGCTTTGTAGGAGCACTGTAATCACAACAGACTACCTTTCTCTTTGCATCCACCACATACACAGCCTTTTTCTTCGATTTCACATTTACTGTTTTGGGTTGCAGTGCACTAAGTTAGAAGGTTGCTCATTATGGCTTAACAAGCAATGGAAATATGTCAAATTGGGGATGAACAGCTACAGCACAGACAAAAGTCACTGTGATAAAGTGACTTTTAAAATGGAAAAATGAGGAGGAAGTCAGTGCTGTAAGACCAACATAGGCCCCTACCATGTACGCCCAGAAGGTCAGCAGCACATATTAATGAGTTCTTGGGAAAGAATGAATATGTATGCCAGTGTACTGCATGTGTGTATCTTAACTGTTCAAATATAGCACCTGAACTCTCAGAGACTGCGCTTGATTTATCAAGTTGCCAGTATATGTAGCGATGAATAAAGGAGCGTCGGCTTCTACCACCACTCTGTAGTTAGAGAGTTTTCTTGACTGATTTCTGATGACAGTAGGGGAGCTGCTGCACCTCCTGTGATCATCTTTGTGGCACAACTCCGGACCTGCTCCAACAGGCCAATGCAGTATTCAAGGTGAGGTTACCTGAGAGTGGAATAAATGGTTGGAATCACCTCATTGGAACTGCTGGCTACACTGCTTTTGATCCATCTCCTACAGCGCTTCTTCACATTATCCCATCAAACTTCATGATTCAATAGCTTTGCAACTAGGCCCTGGAGGAAAAACTGGGCCATGCTAAAACGAAGGCCCAGTTAATGTGCACTAGCTAATGGTTCACCGTGTACCATCTAAGGTTCCCAGAATAGCTCTGTTGTCACTGAAAATTTTCTCAGCCCTTCAGCTGCGTGTTCTTTTCTGCACGCACTGTTGCGTGACACCATCAGATTTGTGACTGCTAGAAAGAAAAACAAAGAATTCTGTATTGTCTATCAGTCACTTTTTGGTCCACAGTTGCAGTGGCGCTTCACTGAGCTCTGGAGCCAATACTGCAGGATAGTGCTGTACCAGTCCACAGAACTGTAGGAAACACTGAAGGGTTTGCTCCACAAGTAAAGTCACCTATTTTATGATGTTGGCACATGAGGACAGAGGTGGATGTTGGCATTACGGTGGTAGAGTTTGAACTCCCACCAGCATGCATTGCATTCTGTTGCTGTGTAACACACTGTAAGTGAGGGGCAACCTGACAGGATGGAATCTGACATGGAAATGCAAATGAAGCAAAGGTGTGATGTTGAATTGCTCCACGTGGAAAGAATTGCACCCTTGACATTCACTGACACCTGCCGAACATTTATGGAGACCAAAAGTTGAATGTGAGCGCAGTGACGCAATGGGTTTTGTGTTTCAACAGTAGAAACACTGACAGGAAAGACAAGCCACACTCCAGGAGTTCATGCACATCTGTCACACCATGAAATGAAGAATGTCTGGATCAGCCAGAATGTATGAACCAGTGGATTAAGAGCAGAACCTGAGTGCAGAGCTGAATATTGAATTTCATGCATTGACAATGATGACGACAGTGTTGTAATATAGCAAAGTTTGCACCTGGAAGAATTAATGAAGATTCACACAGAAACAGAAAAAAACAGTGTGCAAGTTTGTCAGGAACAACGGAACCCATACGAGGCTCAAGGTGACAGTTTCCTAAATCACATCATAAGCAATGACAAAACATATTGTCACATCTATAAGACAGAGTCAAAAGAGCCAAAGTCCACCGAGGGGTGACATGAGAATTCCCTATCAAAGAAAAAGTTCAAGACACAGCCCTCTGTGGTATGGTGACGTGCGCTGTCTTTTGGGATAAGAAAAGGGGAGATCCTTCAGCATTTCCTAGAACCCAGACAATCCATCAGCTCAGATTGCTCAGTCTCAGTGCTGACAATGCCGAAGGCTCAAACCTCCAGAGTCAGGCCTGAGAAGAAGGCTTCCTGCGGTATGATAATGCCTCATCCACACCAATATGAAGACCATGGTGCACACTGACAGTTTTGGCTGAACAGTCCTTTCACAACCATGATATAAGGCGTATGTGGCACCTTTGGACTTTCATCTTTTTGGGCTGATGGGAGATGTACTGTGTGGGCTACATTTTCCTGGTAAGAATGTCAGCACAACAGCTGTGAAACTGTGGTTCACCTCCACTGGTGCAGGTATTTACCAGCATGAAATGAAGGACCTTCATCATCGCAGGTGAGAATTCATGGAGCTAATGGTGTTGACTGTGTTAAAAGTCTGCCACTGTGAATCTTCTCTATCAAATAGTGTTATTGTGCACTTTGAAACTGCGGAAGCTTCACAGGAATCAAATAGGAGACACTGCTTTCAGAGTAACCTATCTACATTTCAGGATCTCAACATCAATGGCCATCTCAATCAACATCTCAATGGCTCTGCAACACTGCAGTAGCCATTTGTTAGATTACATCGCTCTGCAAGGCTCCTGATACTCGCCGACTACTTGGTTCACAGAGATAGATACAATGTCACTGTATTTGCTAATGGAAACAGGCAACACAGTTGCTAATGGAAGTGCCTAAGTGCTTTAAGTATCCAAGGAAGGAAAGAAAACAAGAGGGGTGCAGACTAGCTAGAGGTAGAACAGGCGGACAATGAAGCCAAGAGAATTTGGTGAACAGAAACATGATGAATGCAATCCTCAGGTTACAACACTGCTTTTGTGACTCAGGAGAATGAAAGGAGTGACAAAATCAAATGAGACCTTGCAGAAAGGACAGGGTCATCTGTGGTGTGCAGTGATGACCCCTCACTGCCCAGGAGCAGACCAGAGATGCTCCAGTTCCTGCCAGCTCTGTGGTTCTTGAAGTCATAGTCATGGCTGTGTCTAGGAAGAGGTTTTTGTTAAAGTTCTGCAGGATTTCCTGTTCCCGTGCGAACAGCACAGAAGTAGCGCGCTGAGTCGTGTGGGCGCAGGGCATGGAGAGACAGAAAGGACACAGAGTGGGAATTGTCTCGAGAGACCGAGGCTCGACCCTGCACCTCAGAATTGACTGTAGTATATGAGCTGGTGCTGATGTAGGACAGCCACTTGAGAGAGCCACCAGGTCCCTGACGGTACCAGCGAACAGCATAACTTCTGAAGCTGAAGCCGGATCCTTGGCAGGAGAGCTGCACGGACTCCCCTGGTGCTCGCACACCTCCGCCAGATTCTTCAAGTCTCCACTGTGCACACACTCCTGTAGAAGGACAGCATCAGGAAGCAGGCATTGCACATCCATGCCAGGAGGACGTTCCCCAGCCACCCTGACAACAACTGCCATCAACTCAGAGCTGTGAAGCTCCTCTCTCGTGCCGCAGCCCCAGGCCAGGGGCGCTGCCCCAGCCGCCCTCCTCCTCGGGGCTCAGCCAGGGCCGCTCCCGCAGCATCCGCGTCCCCGCGCAGCCTCCCTGTGCCACGCACGACAGCCGCTGCCCGGCACCGAAGGCGAGATCCGGGCCTCCGCGCGCCCGCCCGCCCGCGGGGCGGCAGCAGGAGCCGCGCCCGGCCCCGGCCTCGCCGCCCTCCGTGCCCGCTTCTCTCTCACCCGCCGGCCCCAAGGCCAAGGCCAGCAGCCACGGCCCCAGCCCGCCCGCCATCGCGCCCCGCCGCGCCGCCGCCGTCTGCCCGGGAGGCGGACGGCAGCGGAGCGGGGCCGCGCTCGGGCCGCCCCTCGTCGGGCCCCGGCGGGGCGGCACCCCCAGCTCCGCTCCGCTCCCGCTCCCTCTCCTCTCCGCCCTGCCCGGCTCCGCGGCCCCTTCGGCGGAGGACTGGGCGGCGCGGAGGGCGGAGGTGGGGCTCTCCTCTCCTCTCCTCTCCTCTCCTCTCCTCTCCTCTCCTCTCCTCTCCTCTCCTCTCCTCTCCTCTCCTCTCCTCTCCTCTCCTCTCCTCTCCTCTCCTCTCCTCTCCTCTCCTCTCCTCTCCTCTCCTCTCCTCTCCTCTCCTCTCCTCTCCTCTCCTCTCCTCTCCCTGGGCTGATCTCCACACAGCGCCGTGCACAACAGGCCTGGGCCGAGGCCGCACGCAGCACGGCTGCCCCACGCACGGGCTCTCGCTCCGCAGCCTCTCCTCGCACATGCCTCCCGAGCCCCCCACCGACTTCCCTCCGTGGCATCGTGCAGAAATCAGCCCATCTGCCTTTTACGCTATTCTCCTCTTTTCAGCACCATCTCCTTCCCCTGCGCTGCTCACTGGAGCTCCGGCCTCTTTCCTCCTTTCACTGTCACCACCCGGCTCCGGCTGGGCTGCAAAAGGGGAAGAGGGAGGGGAGCAGTGGGCAACGCTGATGCAGTCAGGGCACCCGGGACTGTCTCCCAGCACGCTCCCAGCAGGGTGCAGAAAGTGAGTACCTTGTCTTCCAGCTCCAGCCCAGTCATGACCCGGGACCCAGGGATCTTATCTGACTGCCACAGAAGACACTGAATTACCAGAATGTAAAACTCCAGCTCTCTCAGCCTGTCTACATAGTTATATAGGCTATGGTTTGGCATGGACATAGGCTGGTTTAGCAATAAAAATCAGTATATTAGTTTAAGGACCAATGTGTTGCTTTAGCAGAAGGAATCAAAGAGTGCTAGTTCCAGATTTTCCAGTTTAGCTTTGCCTGGTGTGTGGACAGCCTTGTTTATTCTCTACGATCCTGCTCCATAAGAGCACCGCAGTCACAACGGTCTATTTTTCTCTTGGAATCCACCACAAACACAGACTTTTTCCTTGGATTTCACACTGATGGTTTTGGGTTATGCTGCACTAAGACAGAAGGTTGCTCGTTTTGGCCTACCAACCAATGGAAATGTGTCAAACTGGGGGCAAACAGCTAGAGGACAGCCAAAAGTAACTGTGATGAAGCTGTTGGTGGAAAAAGGAGGAGGAAGCCAGTGGTATAGGACCACCACAACCTCCTACCATGCTCAGAAGGACAACAGCATGTATTCATGAGTTCTTGGAAAAGAATGAATATGTATGCCAATGCACTGCATATGTACGTCTTAACTGTTTAAATGTAGCACTGGAACTCTCAGAGCACGTGCTTGATTTATCAAGTCACCAGACTGTATTGTGAGGAATAAGGGAGTGTCGGCTCTCTAACACCTCCTTGTAGTTAGAGAGCTTTCTTCCCTGATTTCACGTGACAACACGAGAGCTGCTGCATCTCCTCAGATCATCTCTGTGGCTGCTCTCTGGACCCACTCCAACTGGCCAATGTCGTTCTCATCCCTTTGTGCCCAGATTCGAACACAGTATTTCAGGTGAGGTTTCACAACAGTGGAACAAATGGTTGGAATCACCTCATTGGAACTGCTGGCTATCCTTCTTTTGATCCATCTCCTACAGCACTCCTCCAACTTATCCAACCGCATCTCCACAATCGAATAGATTTGCAGACAGGCCATGGAGGAAAAACTGGGCCATGGTAGATCAGAAGCCCAGTCAGTGTGCAGTAGCTGATGGTTCACTGTGCAGCATCTGAGGCTCCCAGAATGCCTCCTTTTGCATCACAGTTTTCTCAGCCCTTGAACTGCGCTTTCTTCCAATGGATATAATTACATATTGTGGAAAGGCCTGCTTTCTGCACCTGCTGCTGCACAACACCATCTGATTCAAGGCTGCTAGAAAGAAACATTGAGAATACTGGATTGCCTGTCAGTCACTTTTTGGTCCACAGCTGCAGAGCTGTTCCAGTGAGCTCGGAGCCAATACTGCAGGGGCCTGCCAGGATACTGCTGGTACCAAGCCTCGCAAGTACAGGAAGCATTGCAGTAGTAAGTACAAGGGCTGCTCCACAAGCAGTGCCATCTATTTCCTTTGCAGACAGAGGTGGATGTTGGCAGCATGGCAGTGCATGTAGAACTCCTGTCGGTATTCCATTCCATTCTGCTGCTGTGTAACACATGGTAACAGAGCGGCTGTCGGATAGGATGGAGTCTGACATGTAAGTGCGTATGAGGCAAAGGTGTGATGTTGAATTGCTCCACGTGGAAAGAATTGCACCCTTGACATTCACTGACACCTGCTGAACATTTATGGAGACCCAAAGTTGAATGTGAACACCGTGAGGCAGTGAGTTTTGTGTTTCAGCAGTGGGAACACCGACAAGGAAGACAAGCCATGTTCAAGAAGACCGTGCAGATGTCACAACATGAAATGAAGAGCGTCTGGATCAGCATAACCGTATGAATCAGTGGATTTTGAACAGGAACCTGAATGCAGAGCTGAATATTGGATTTCGTGCACTTAAATGACGATGCTAACATTGGAATATACCAAACTTTGCACCAGGAAGAATCTACTGAGACTCACACTGGAACAGAAAGAACAGTGTAAGTCTGTCAGGAACAACTGAACCCATATGAGGCTCAAGGTGACAGTTTCCTGCAGCACATCATGAACAGTGATGAGATGTGGTGACACCGCTACAAGATAGAGTCAGAAGAGCCAAAGTGCATGCAGTGGCAACATGAGAATTTCCCTTAGAAGAAAAAATTCAAGACACAGGTCTCAGCAGTTAAAGTGATGTCTTTAGTGCACTGTCTTTTGGGATGGGAAAGGGGAGATCTTTCAGCATTTACCAGAACCCAGAGAACCCATCAGCTCAGTCTCCACACTGACAACACTGGAGGCTCCAGCCTCCAGAGTCAGGTAGGAGAAGGCAGCAATCATTGTCTTGCAACATGATAACACCACACACCATGCCAATTACAAAAACATGGTGCACACAGACAATTTTGGCTGCACAGTCATTCTACAACCACAATACAGTCTGTATCTCACACCTTCACACTCCCATATAATTGGGCTGATGAGAGATGTATTCCATGGGCAACATGTTCTGGGAACAATGCCAGCATAACAGCTGTGGAACTGTGGTTAAGCTGCATTGGTGCAGGTATTTACCAGCATGAAATAAAGGATCTTCATCACTGCTGAAAATGCACAGCTAATGCTGTTGACTATGTTAAAAAATGTCCTGCAACTGTGATTCTGCTCTATCAAATAGTGTTATTGAGCTCTTGTTACCTGTTGAAGCTTCTATGGAATCACATGGCAGGTATCGTTTTCAGTGTAACCTATGTAATTTGAAGGGTCTCAGATTGCCCTGCTTGCTGCAAGGCTACAGACCTTGCATTCCATCACTCTGAAATGCCATCACTCTGAAGACACATCAGATCTATTCAGCCACTGCTTTGCTCACAGAGAAACATGGAAAAAGCCATCCACCGGTGATGAAAGCAGGCAATGCTGTTGCTAGAAGTGCCCAAGTGCTTTTGAGTACCCAAGAAAAGAAGGAAATCAAAAGCAGGTGCAGACATGCTGCAGGTAGGAAGGCAGGTAAAGTGGCCGAGCTGAAAGGGTGACCAGAAATACTGTGAATATAATCCTCAGGTCACAACACTGCTTTTGTGACTCAGAAGTCATGGGAGACCTGGCAGAAAGGACAGGGTCATCTGTGGTGTGCAGTGAAATTCCCTCACTGTCCAGAAGCCCAGAGATGCTCCAGCTCCTGCCAGCTCTGTGGTTCTGCAGCCAAGGCTGTGTCTAAGAAGGGGATTTTTGTTACAGCTCTGCAGGATTTCCTGTTCCCGTGTGAACAGCACAGAAGTAGCGCGCTGAGTCGTGTGGGCGCAGGGCACGGAGAGACAGAAAGGACACAGAGCGGGAATTGTCTCGAGTGACTGAGGATCGACCCTCCAACTCTGGGCTGGATTCAATATATGAGCCTGTTGTGATGTAGGATAGCCACTTGAGATGACCACCGAGTGCCTGACGGTACCACAGAACATGGTAATTTCCAAAGCTGAAGCCGGATCCCTGGCAGGAGAGCTGCACGGACTCCCCAGGTGCTCGCACACCTCCGCCAGATGCTTCCAGTCTCCACTGTGCACACACTCCTGCAGAAGGACAGCATCAGGAAGCAGGCATTGCACATCCATGCCAGGAGGACGTTCCCCACAGCCCAGACAACAACTGCCATCAACTCAGAGCTGTGAAGCTCCTCTCTCGTGCCGCAGCCCCAGGCCAGGGGCGCTGCCCCAGCCGCCCTCCTCCTCGGGGCTCAGCCAGGGCCGCTCCCGCAGCATCCGCGTCCCTGCGCAGCCTCCCTGCGCCACGCACGACAGCCGCTGCCCGGCACCGAAGGCGAGCTCCGGGCCTCCGCGCGCCCGCCCGCCCGCGGGGCGGCAGCAGGAGCAGCGCCCGGCCCCGGCCTCGCCGCCCTCCGTGCCCGCTTCTCTCTCACCCGCCGGCCCCAAGGCCAAGGCCAGCAGCCACGGCCCCAGCCCGCCCGCCATCGCGCCCCGCCGCGCCGCCGCCGTCTGCCCGGGAGGCGGACGCCAGCGGAGCGGGGCCGCGCTCGGGCCGCCCCTCGTCGGGCCCCGGCGGGGCGGCACCCCCAGCTCCGCTCCGCTCCCGCTCCCTCTCCTCTCCGCCCTGCCCGGCTCCGCGGCCCCTTCGGCGGAGGACTGGGCGGCGCGGAGGGCGGAGGTGGGGCTCTCCTCTCCTCTCCTCTCCTCTCCTCTCCTCTCCTCTCCTCTCCTCTCCTCTCCTCTCCTCTCCTCTCCTCTCCTCTCCTCTCCTCTCCTCTCCTCTCCTCTCCTCTCCTCTCCTCTCCTCTCCTCTCCTCTCCTCTCCTCTCCTCTCCTCTCCTCTCCTCCCCTCCCCTCCCCTCCCCTCCCCTCCCCTCCCCTCCCCTCCCCTCCCCTCCCCTCCCCTCCCCTCCCCTCCCCTTCCCCTCCCCTCCTCTCCTCTCCTCTCCTCTCCGCCCGGCCCGGCACCGCGGCCCCTTCGGCGGAGGACGGGGCGGTGCGGGGGGCGGAGGCGGAGCGCGGTGCCGCGGCACTCGGAGCTGCGGGCCCTGGGCTGATCCCCGCGCAGCGCTCCGTGCACTTCGGGCCCGGGCCGAGGCCGCACGCAGCTCGGCTGCCCCACGCACGGGCTCTTGGCCCACAGCCTCTCCTTTCCCGTGCCTCCCCGAGTCCCGCACCGACATCCCTCCGTGGCCTCCCTCCCCTCCGCTGACATCGCACCACGAGGCACCATGCGAAAACCCCTCTCGAAATCCATTGTGAGATGAAACGGTCTAGTTTCAATCTCTAACAGAGACCACTCCAGATTGCAAGTACCATCTGATGAGGGAGAGCTAACTGTAATTCTGTTCCGGTAGAAGGAATAGTGTTTTTGGGACATGCAGGTCTGGAAAGTCCAGGTTGATTCCTTGCGTGACTGCTATGTGAATATGAAATAAAAGTGCGTCGTTCAGGACAGGTACGCATCCAGACAGGTCTTGGATACCTCCACAGGAATTTCTACAGCCTCTCTGGGCAACCTTTTCCAGTGCTTTCTTATCCTCATTGCAAAGAAGTTCTTCTGCATATCTGTGTGAATGTCCTATGTTCCATTTGTTGTCCACTGCTCCGTGTCCTATGACTGCACCCTCATCAAAAGAGTCTGGCCTCATTCTATTGCCTCCAGTACTTCTGATGTTTATAAACATGGATCAGATCGACTCCGAGTCTTCTCCAGACTGAATTAGCTCAGGCCTCTCAGCCTTTCCTTATACAGCAGGTGCTCCTGGCTCTTCAGCATCTCTGTCGCCCCCCGCTGGACTCTTTCTAGGAGATCCCAATCACTTTTTAACAGGGAAACTCCTTGGTATGCTGCAGGCTTGAAGCAGAGTGGCTGGAAAAATTTGTGGGAGAAACAGACATAGGGCTGTTGGTTGATGCTGGGCTGAACAAGAGCCAGCAGTGAGCCCAGGTGTCCAAGAAGGCTGATGGATGGCATCCTGGCTTGTGGCAGAAATAGTATTGCCAGCAGGAGCAGGGAAGTGATCATCCCCCTGTACTCAACATGAGTGCTGTGTTCAGTTTGGGCCACTCGCTACAAGTAAGACGGTGAGGCCCCAAAGCATGTGCAGAGAAGGGCAACAAAGCTGCTGAGGGGTCTGGAGCACAAACCTTACGAGGAGTTGCTGAGGGAACTGTGATTGTTTAGTCAGGAGAAGAGGAAGCTCAGTGGAGACATTACAGCTCTCTGCAACAACCTGAAGGCAGGCCGTGGTGAGGTGGACTTTGGCCTCTACTCCTGCATAACTAGAGATTGAACTAGAGGGAATGGCTGAAGTTGCACCAGAGGAAGTCCAGGTTGGATATTAGGAAACACTTCTTCTCTGAAAGAGTGATCAGGCGCTGGAACTGGCTCCCCTGGGAGGTGGCTGAGTCATCATCCCTGGAGGTGTACACATAGATGTAGTACTAAGGGACATGATACAGTGGATATTGGTGGTAGGTGGACAGTTGGACTGGATGATCTTGGAAGTCTTTTCCAGACTTGGTGATTCTACCTGGACACAGTATATGAGATGTGGCCTCATAGGGTAGAGTAGAGGGGGAGGATCACCTCCACTGACTGCAGGTCACACTCTTGTGAATGCATCCCAGGACACCACTGGCCTTCTTGGGCACAAGGTCACACTGCTGGCTCATGGGCAACCTGCTCTCCATCAGGATACCCAAGGGCACTGCAATTCCCTAGCGGCAGGCTTAGTGGGAAATGCTGAACCAACAAATGCATTCAGGTTCACTGCTTTCTCAGCATCCTCTGTTACCAGGGCACTCACCCACTCACCTCTCTCAATAGTGGACCAACAAATTCCCAAGTCTTTCATACTGACAAAATTCAAAAACTGCTCGTGTTATCCATGAACTCCTTTGCAAGATTTAAATAGTGGTGGCCCTTGTTGCACCCCTGAAGAAACTGACAGCACTCCCATATTCCTCTCACATGGACAGGCCCTTTTCCCACATTTCCAACACTTCTTGCCTTTCAATTCATCCAAGACTCCTTGCTCCAGGGAGGCCTCCTGCCAATTTTCCCAGTTTCTTTTAGGCATGAATTGATCTTGATCTTGGCAGAGGTAGTGTTAAACTGCCAACCAATTCCCTTGGACCCCCTTACCTTCTAACTCTCTGGCCATGGCAATCATCTAAGTAGGTTGTTGAGGAGGACTCAGAAATGCACCCGAAACCACATCAGGCATATACATTTACCCATGGCTTTGCTGACTGATACATGGAAAGAACGGTTCACGGCTGTTGCAGGAAGCAGGCAAGGCTGGTGCTAGAACACAACTGTTTTCGAGGACCCAAGCAAAGAAGGGAGCCAAGAACTGATCAATCCGGACATGCTGGGGGCAGAAAGGTAGAGTGCTCAATGGTTTGCTAACCAGAAATATGCTGCACATAACTCCCATGTTACAACACTGTTTTGGGACTCCAGAGGAGGAAAAGAGTGGTGATGGAAAAGGAGCTCTTGCAGAAAGGACGGGGCCATCTGTGGTGTGCTGTGACATCCCATCACTCCCCAGGAGCAGTGCAGAGCCTTACCAGCACCTTCCAGCCCTGTGGCTCCAGCAGGCTTGGCTGTGTCAGGAAGGGGTTTTTGTCACAGATCTGCAGGATTTCCTGTTCCCGTGTGATGGCACAGAAGTAGTGTGCTGAGTCTTCAGGGTGCAGGTTATGCAAGGACAGAGAGATTATAGCTTGGGAATCGTCTCGGGAGCCTTTCACTCGACCCTCCACCTCAGGGCTCGATCTAACATATGAGTTGGTGCTGATGTCAGACAGCCACTTGAGATGACCACCAGGAGCCTGACGGTACCACCAAACACCTCCGAATCTGAAGCCATATCCACGACAGGAGAGCCGCACGGACTCCCCAGGTGCTCGCACACCTCCGCCAGATGCTTCCAATCTCCGCTGTGCACACACTCCTGTAGAAGGACAGCATCAGGAAGCAGGCATTGCACATCCATGCCAGGAGGACGTTCCCCAGCCACCCTGACAACAACTGCCATCAACTCAGAGCTGTGAAGCTCCTCTCTCGTGCCGCAGCCCCAGGCCAGGGGCGCTGCCCCAGCCGCCCTCCTCCTCGGGGCTCAGCCAGGGCCGCTCCCGCAGCATCCGCGTCCCCACGCAGCCTCCCTGTGCCACGCACGACAGCCGCTGCCCGGCACCGAAGGCGAGCTCCGGGCCTCCGCGCGCCCGCCCGCCCGCCCGCCCGCGGGGCGGCAGCAGGAGCCGCGCCCGGCCCCGGCCTCGCCGCCCTCCGTGCCCGCTTCTTTCTCACCCGCCGGCCCCAAGGCCAAGGCCAGCAGCCACGGCCCCAGCCCGCCCGCCATCGCGCCCCACCGCGCCGCCGCCGTCTGCCCGGGAGGCGGACGCCAGCGGAGCGGGGTCGCGCTCGGGCCGCCCCTCGTCGGGCCCCGGCGGGGCGGCGCCCCCCCCTCCCCTCCCCTCCCCTCCCCTCCCCTCCCCTCTTCTGCCCCTTTAACTGCTATGCAACCACACAGGAAATGCAAGCACTTCTCACATGCAAATGGAACTTTAGCCCATCCTCCATCACTTTGCAAAATGGATTGCAGTGCCCCATGGGCAAATAATTGTCCAAATGCACATACTTATGTCCCAAGATGTGAGAGTAGCAGCTGAAGTACGTGCCCCTGTGCTCTGTGTGTCTGTATACTGCGGAGGCGACAGTTTGGATAGAGGCACCTAACTCACCGCACTAGCGGAGAGCCGTTACCACAATGATCCACAGGGGTTGGTGGAGGAGTTGAGCTAGGCGACAGATTAGGCTGCATTCCATCAGCACAGCTCGACAGGGCCGTGCACGGCTTGTAAGTGAGATACATCAGTTGAGGTGTATCACCCTCTTCTTTCCTCCCACGTGGGATGCTGATGCCACACACAAGAGTCTGTGTGACTGGACACACTCTGTCTCGCAGCTCTTCAACTTGTTTCTGCCTACATAATGGTTTTGCCTATATTTTCCCTGTCTGCCTTCTGCAAATGAAGACAGTAACATCTCTGTTTGGCAACACGTAACATGCTGCTGTAGGACCATGCTGGAGACCTCCCCCTAAGCAAGAGCTGCAGGGTTCTGCTGGAACTTCAGAGCTGGTCCTGGAGGTGGTAAGTTGGCCTCCCAGTGGCCCCATATCTCTTGGTGCTGGAGAGCTGCAACTTCCACATGGCACCTCCTGAGCCTGTGTCCTCTTGGACAAAGCAGCCCAAGGCAGAGGTGCAACCCCCCTGTTCCTGAACTTCGGCCCAACATCCACTCCCAACTTCATGCAGAAAGGATCTCCCAGCACCCCATGCCCACCAACCAAACAACAGAGGCCCTACAGGAATCTGAGCAGATAAGAACCCAGATATGTTGACAGTAAAGGTTTGGAGAACATGGTTCAAGTTCCTCCAACTCATCTGCTAAAACTCATGTGCATGACTCAGTAGGAACCAAGCTGCTGGGACTCCTTGGCAAAGCAGTGAATCTCTCTTCTTTATGCTCATCTGATTCAGCAGGAACCCAGAAATCCCCTTAGGACCTCTGCAGCCAAGGAATGGGAAACCTAAGGGGACCAAGCCCTGGCAAGTATCATGGTCTTGACTGGTTCCACGTTTTTAGGGAACACAGCCAACTCCACATAGTTTAAACATCCACTCTCTTCACTCTCTTTCCATTCCACCTTTTCTCAGGTGCTCCAGCCTGGACCTCTGAGAGGAAGTCTGAGACAGAGCTGTAAAAAGGGATTTGCAGAGGGCAGAGGAGCCCATTGGAACAGGAGATTTGAGGGTGGGAAAAGAAGCAGTAAGTGTAGAGCTGGGCTAGTTGTCGGGTACCCTGAGACACTCAGGGCTGTCCCAGCATGGCAGGACATGCCATGTCCTCTACAGCCCTCAAACCCATGAATTACTCAAGTGTTCTTGCCCAGGCATCCTCCATACCCTGTTTGTTGGAGACCCCAACAGAAATCCCTCCTGGCCTCAGTGTGCACATGTGAGCATATGTACATGGGGCCATGTACGTATATGGACATGATGAACAATGCAGGGAAGGGACTTCTCATAGGTGCAGGGGAAAATAAGCTCTGCAGTACAGCTTCTTGTGCTGCACTTCTCTGGGACTCCCAGGACAACATGAGGTTTCAAAATTCAACTCTGGTTTTCTGTGTTAAATATTTAGTCCTTCAATGCTTGTTGTGTTTCTTCTGAACAACTCTTTCCTTGTTTCTGTCTACTTTCAGTGAGACTGGGAAGACAGGAAGAAGATTAGGAACATGCTCAGTTTTACTCATGCTTGTGAAAGACTCTGCTGCTACAGCAGTACCTTTGTTCTCATTTCTGAGAAAAGAAGCCCAGATGAGACTTAGGAAACTTTACTGAAGCCAACCACAAAATACCTGGCTGGATTTAGACTTACTTCCTTTCTGTTTCAAATTGAAGAGGCTTGTGGTTCATTGTACTGAACCCAGTCCCTCTGAATTAAGACTCAAACAGAGTCAAGGTGTTGATCAAGCAAGAGTGTGCCTTTATTTCTTAACTGATGAGCAAGTGAAAGAGGGGAAGAAAAGGAGAGGAAAAAGAAGGGGAAGGGAAAGAAAAAAAGGACAGGGAAAAGAAAAAGGAAGGGGAAAGTGGACAGGGAAGGGGAAAGGAGAAAAGGCAAAGGGGAAAAGTTAAAAGGAAAGGGAAGAGGAAAGGGGAAAATGAAAGGGAACGCGAGGGGATGGAGGCAAGGGGGAAGGGAAAGGAGGAAGGAAGGGAAAGGGAGATAGTGGGAAAGGGAGAGGAATAGGGAGAGGGAGAGGGAGAAGGAAAGGGAAAGGGAAGAAAGGGGAATGGGAAGGGGAAGAGGGAGGGGAAAGAGAAGGGAAAGGGGAAGGGGAAGGGGAAGGGGAAGGGGAAGGGGAAGGGGAAGGGGAAGGGGAAGGGGAAGGGGAAGGGGAAGGGGAAGGGGAAGGGGAAGGGGAAGGGGAAGGGAAAGGGAAAGGGAAAGGGAAAGGGAAAGGGAAAGGGAAAGGGAAAGGGAAAGGGAAAGGGAAAGGGAAAGGGAAAGGGAAAGGGAAAGGGAAAGGGAAAGGGAAAGGGAAAGGGAAAGGGAAAGGGAAAGGAGTCACCACTGCAGATCTCATGATATCGTGAAAGTCCTTCCCCCTCGATCTCTTTCTGGGGATGTACTTTTGGCTATGGGGTTGGGAGTGCCTTTGATGCCGTGTGACAGTCCCTGTCAATTGGGCAAGGAGCTCCTGCCAGATGGAGAGTGGTGTCACACGCCGTGTGCATCCATACTGCCATGCTTCTCCCTTTGCGTGGTGATCGTGAAGGGCTATGGTTCAGGGGGAGGACCCAAGACCTTCTTAAGCAAGGCGACTAACTCCTGCTTCTCCATTGCACTCATGTTTGTTTTCACCTTTCACACGAATGTTACAGGACAGTTTGGGTTCTGAGGAATTGACAAGATTGTTACAGTTTTGTCTCTAGTCACCAGTTAGCTGCAAGTCAGTCTCTTGACCAATCAGAGAGAAAATTCAAATGTGGTTCTGTATAGAGCAGTCATAGTCTGAGTCAGAAGGAAACATGGCACTTTATCCCCACCACCTTCCTTTGTTGTCCTGCCTGTGATTCAACCCCTGCATCCTTTTCCAGCTCTCTGCTGCAGAAATAGGCGGCTGTTTCTGCAGCTGTGGGTGAAAGCACTTCCAGGTAGAGTTGGTTCCTAGATGCATTTGCAGAGCTGGCAAAACAGATCTAGAGGAATGATGCAAAGTGCTGGAATAACATGAAACGCTGCAGTAGGACTGGATTCTGCAGGTCTCTGACAGGAGGAGGATCTGCCTGACCCATTCCCAAGCATAGCCACTGTCAGCAGTGGGTACAGCAGAGATGTGGCAGGTAAGCATGAGAGAATCTGTGACCTTCCCAACCACTGGCCCAGAAGCCTCTGCCTGCAACTGACAAGGGGCATCTGCAGCCTCAGGAGCTAAAGATGAACAGGCAGTGAGAGCTCTAGCAATTACTTTATTTACTATACTGCTTTCCCAGACTTCTACTTGTGGTGCTACAAATGCATGTCTCTGAAGTTCTTGCTCCCTTTATAGTCTCGAATCTGTGAGAGAAGCACACAAACAACACCAAACAACCAAACAACCAAAATACGACCACAAGACGAAGCACTAAGGCAAATGCACAGATATTCATGTTATTGGGGAAAGAGCAAAGGAGATATACAATGAACTCAGCCTTACTCCAATATAGGTTTGTTAAATCCACCACCGTTAAAAAAAAAAAAAAAAAAAAAGACAAATGTGAAAGATGCCTCATTTCGGATGTAAAAAAGATTTTGTCTTTCCTAATTCATCTTCTCTGAGGGTCTTCAGACATCTCCTTTCTCCCACTGAGCTCCCAGGTGACCCTTTGTACTTTCCTCTTTTCCCATTCTTCCCTCAGAGAACAAAACTCGTGGACTGAACTGAACTGAACCATGCCCAAAAAACAAATCAGGGCTCATCAGGTGGGCCATTATAGGGTGTCCATCCTAGTGGGAAATGATGGAAACTTGTTTCCAAAGCTGAAGTAGTTCAGGAATGTGAGGAGTAAGGGTTGGTGTGAGAAATGGGAAGAAGGAAGCTCGCAGCCATGTGCAGCTGCTCCAAGCCACCCCGGTACTGAGTGGTGTAGAGCACAGGAAAGGGTGCATGTGAGCTTTGGTCCTTCATTGACAGCTATCCCTGTCCCATCTCTGTCTTTGGTTCCAGCATGAGCCCCTCTGGTGCCAATGTCAGTGACACTGACCTCAATCAGAGGGTTGGGCTTGACCAGGATGTTCTGACCAGATGTGACTCTCTTGTGTTTTCTCTATTTTCCTTTTAAGAATCTGGTTACTGTCAGGCTGAAGGGTCACCATGACAGCATGGTTCTCTCAAGTGTTGTGGTATAACCCCAGAAGGCAGCTAAGCGCTGCAAAGCTTCTTGCTCTGTGTCTCACGCCTCTTCCACAGCAGGACAATGAGCGGGGCTGTAGGGAGTAAGACAATGAAGTGGAGGAAAACTTGAGAGAGAATTGGTTTAGCAAAGGAAAAGCACAGGCCATACAAGGAAGAAAAAGGAGAAAAAAAAAATCTCTACTTCCAACAGCAAGTTCAGCCACTTCCTGGAAAGCAGGGCCTATATGCACACAGTGATTGGTCTGGGAGACAAATGCCTTTGTAACAAGTGTCTCCAGTATTACTCCAGATTTTATTGGTGAGCATGACGTCATATGGTATGGAATATCTCTTTGGTCTGTTTAGGTCAGGTGTCTGAGCTCTATCCCACCTCTTCTCCACTCTCAACCTACTGATCTTTGGCAGGGGAGCAGGAGACAAAGCCTTGGTGATGTGCCCGCGTTGCTCAACAAGAGCCAAAACACTGATGAGATACCAACACCATTCACAATCCAAGGGTGTCATGGTTCTATGTTTTTTTGTTTTGGGGTTTCAGTATTCCACATCAAAACATCATGTAGTATACAGGGTATTAAAGTGTTAATGCCCCAATTCCAAGTTCCTATCCCTGTACATTACAGCAGTCACGGGATCTGGCCCTTCTGGGTGGGGGTGGCGCTCTCTTGCTGCCTTGCAGTGGGTGCTGGAGGTGCTTTCCTGGCCGTTCCAAGCTTTTCAGGTTTGACTCGGTCCCAGGAACTCTCTCTCTCTCATCTTGTCTGATTTATTAATCTCAATTTCAATTAAATTGTATATATTGTGTTATCTTGTATTCCAATATTATAGTAAAATAAGTTTTCCTCTATAGATTGTTGCCTTTGTTCTTCTCCTCCCTTCCTTCCTTCCCATTTTTGTGGGGCTGGGGTGGGAGGGGAGGGTGGGGGCCTGTTGCCCCTGTCACAGACATAGATTGATCTGGTCAACTCCGTGACAAAGGGCAAAGTATGGCATAGAAAAAATTAATTCCACCCTACTCAGACCCAGTACAATCTCTACCCTTTATTCCATACCATTTGCATGATGATCAGGTTCCACACAAATAAATATACGTATCCCCTGATCATCTTTCTATCCAATATATAAATCTGTATATTCTCATTAACCACTATTCCCTGTCTCTTAACAGATACTGCCTTCCTGTACTAAGGGCTTCTCCTACTTCCCAAGACATCCATAAGAACAGTAGATGATTTAGACCTCAGCTGTCAAGGTGGTCACTTGGAACATGAGAAGCAGCATGTTGAATTCCCGGAGGCCTGCACCAGCTTTGTCCAAGTCACTGCTACACTCAACTTACCAGGTTCCTTGCCAAGTTCACTCTTTCTTGATCCAGTTAGTGTCTTCTGCAGTGCTTTCCTACAACATATAACTCTAATTATAGATTAGCTTCACCTAAGGTTAAATCTCATTGAAGTACACACTAGATCTTTGCATCCTTCCACATCATCCAGCATGGCTAATTCTCTCAGCTACTGAATACCTCCCTCCATGGCAATTACTTGCTTTGGTAATTTACAGTATTCTCCTTGAAGGGTTACCTTTCCTTCACATTTGGCAGGAATCACCTCCAGAGGCTGAGGACTAGTGCCCGTTTTTCCAGTTGCTAAGGGGAAAGAGATCCCAGGCACTGGGCCTTTTCCCAGCATCAGAGAAGCCAGTCCCTTACCTAAATTAGGTGACTTCTGATTCTATTGTTTCTTCTTGACTAGAAAGGTGGCTGATACCATGGTTGGTTGGCTCCTTGGTTTAGCAACAACATTGTTTTGTCTTCAGACCCAGAGACCTTCAGTTTCCCTTGAGGGTGCAGAATAGTATTGAATAGAGCTCAAATAAACATGCTTGATTTGGAGTCAATTTGGCTGTAATATGCAGGGAGCTGAGTCTACTCCTCTGGCCAGATTCATGAAAGCTGCTTGCTGCCTCCTGGGTAGTTGTAGTGCATTTAGCACAAAGTGACCAAGCAAGCTAGTGCCTGGGAGCAGAGTAGGAGAGAAGTTTTTTGAACAACTAGAGACTCTCTCAACCTTTCTTTTACTATATTCTGAAGGCTGTCTCCTAAGGAAGAGCCTTAGGCACTCTGCAGGAACCTCAGTAACCCCTTTATTGCCAGCAACTGTACGGGGCTGGGGCTGTAGGAGACTTCCCAGCCCTTGCTCTGGAGTAAGGGGAGTAACCTTACTCCAGTAACCTTACTCTCCTTGGTCTGGAGAGGCCTGCTGAGATGTTTCTGGTACCAGGCCACATAAATAAATATAGGAAGCATTGGAGCTGTAAGTACATTACAGGGTCTATGTGTGCCTTGCTTGCTCTCACACTGCAGGCCTTGCTGCTTGGATCCCATTAACCTGAAATGCACATCAAGCCACAGCTGGGCTGTTCATCCATTGCTGTTTCTTTTTTGTGCTCCTGGAAACGGCTGAGGGCTGGATTGGTGGTGGGAGTGTCAATGCAAACAGGCAATGCTGCTTCTGAAGCCTGAGTCAAAGGGAAGAAGGGGACAAAGGGCAGGCAGAGAGGGTCTGCAGGCAGGAAGAGTGGCCAAGCTGATTTGGTGACAAGAAATACACTGAGCATCTTCCTCAGCTCAAAATACTGCTTTTGAGAGTCAGTCAGGATGAGTGGTAAAAGGAAGAGAACTGTTGCAGAAAGGACAGGGCTGTCTGCGGTGTGCGGTGATGTCTCCTCACCTCGTGGAAGCAGCCCAAAGCTGCCACAGCTCTCAGTAGCCCTACAGACGCACTCCAGTCCATGTCTTCCTGGTAGGGTTTTTTGTTAACCATCAGCTGGATTTCCTGTCACAGTGCAATGCTGCAGAAGTAGCGGGCTGAGTCCCCTGGATGCAAGCGGTGAAGGGAGAGAGATGCCATGGCTTGGGAGTTGTTCCGGGAGACGGTGGCTCGACCTTCCACAGCTGTCCCATATTTCTTTGTAGTGCCAGCCTGGCTGCCGATGAAGGACACCCACTCAGGAATGCCTCTGGGGGTCTGACGGTACCAGCGTATGTCATAGACGCTGAAGCTGAATCCAGATGCCTGGCAGAACAGGGACACAGAGTCCCCAGATGCTCGCACATCTCCACCAGACTCTACCAGCTGGTACTGTGTGCACACTCCTGTGCAAGGACAGCAACAGGAGCCAGGTCAGTACGCATCCAGGGCAGCCATCCCAATCCCACAGATAATAAACTCATGAGATGTGAACCTCCTCTTTCCTACTAAAGCCTTGGACAGGGGCGTTGCTCCTGCGAAAGAGGATGCTCCCGCAGCATCTGTATCCCCACGCAGCCTCCCTGTGCCACGCACGACAGCCGCTGCCCGGCACCGAAGGCGAGCTCCGGGCCTCCGCGCGCCCGCCCGCCCGCGGGGCGGCAGCAGGAGCCGCGCCCGGCCTCGGCCTCGCCGCCCTCCGTGCCCGCTTCTCTCTCACCCGCCGGCCCCAAGGCCAAGGCCAGCAGCCACGGCCCCAGCCCGGCCGCCATCGCGCCCCGCCGCGCCGCCGCCGTCTGCCCGGGAGGCGGACGCCAGCGGAGCGGGGCCGCGCTCGGGCCGCCCCTCGTCGGGCCCCGGCGGGGCGGCGCCCCCCGCTCCTCTCCGCTCCTCTCCGCTCCTCTCCGCTCCTCTCCGCTCCTCCCGGCCCGGCCCTGCCCGGCCCCGCGGCCCCTTCGGCGGAGGACGGGGCGGCGCGGGGGGCGGAGGCGGAGCGTGGTGCCGCGGCACTCGGAGCTGCGGGCCCTGGGCTGATCCCCGCGCAGCGCTCCGCGCACTTCAGGCCTGGGCCGAGGCCGCACGCAGCTCGGCTGCCCCACGCAGGGGCTCTCGGCCCGCAGCCTCTCCTCGCACGTGCCTTCCTGGATGGCCTCCCTCTCGTTCCATGACATGGTATCATGCAGAAATCAGCCTGTAAGCCTTCAATTCCATTCTCCTCGTTGCAGCTCCATCTACTCCCCCTGTGCTCTACCAGAAGTCTCCGGGCTCCCCCTGTCTTGTCCCCATTAAAGCTACCTTAGTGCAAATGAGTCTGCTGCATTGCCCATGGCTGCACCCTGGCGGAAGGCCACTGCCAGGAAAAATGGTGCAGTTATTCACCAGCACGAAATGAAGGATCTTCTTCATCACAAGTGAAAATGTGTAACTAATGGTATTGACTGTGTTAAAAGATAATGCCCTCTAGCTGTGCGTCTGCTCTGTCAAATGGAGTTATTGTGCACTTTGAAACTGTTACAGTTTCACTGGAACCAAATAAGAGACACTGCTTTCAGAGTAACTTATATGCATTGCAGGATCTCAGTTTGTCCTGCATGACCCAACACTGCAGACTGTGTTTGTTGGTTTATATCATTCTTAAATGCACCTGAAACCACGTCGAAGATATTCACTTACTGCTTTGCTCACAGAGACTGATGGAAAGAAACCATGGCTGGTGGATGGAAGCAGGCAATGCTGTTGCTAGAAGCGCCCAATGTGCTCTTCAGTACCCAAAGGAAGAAGGAAAGAAAGAGCAAGTGCAGATGTGCTGAAGGTAGGAGGGGAGGAAAAGTGGCCAAGCTCATCTGGGGACCAGAAACATTGTGAACTTAATCGTCAGGATACAACACTGCTTTTGTGACTCAGGAGAATGAAAGGAGTGATGAAGTGAAAGGAGACTGTGCAGAAAGGACAGGGTAATCGGTGGGGTGCAGTGATGTCCCCCAACTGTCCTAGGAGCAGACCAGAGCAGCTCCAGCTCCTGCCAGCTCTGTGGTTCCAGCATCCGTGGCTGTGTCTAAGAAGGGGATTTTTGTTACAGCTCTGCAGGATTTCCTCTTCCTGTGTGAACAGCACAGAAGTAGTGCGCTGAGTCGTGTGGGCGCAGAGCAAGGAGAGACAGAAAGGACACAGATTGGGAATCGTCACGAGAAACGGAGGCTCGACCCTCCAACTCTGGGCTGTATGTAACCTGTGATGCAGTGTTGATGAAGGACAGCCACTTGAGACGGCCACCAAGTGCCAGACGGTACCATAGTATAGGGTAATATCCAAAGCTGAAGTCGGATCCCTGGCAGGAGAGCCGCACAGAGTCCCCAGGTGCTCGCTCACCTCCTCCAGACACTTCCAGTTTGAACTGTGCACACACTCCTGTAGAAGGACAGCATCAGGAAGCAGGCATTGCACATCCATGGCAGGAGGACGTTCCCCAGCCACCCTGACAACAACTGCCATATACTCAGAGCTGTGAAGCTCCTCTCTCGTGCCGCAGCCCCAGGCCAGGGGCGCTGCCCCAGCCGCCCTCCTCCTCGGGGCTCAGCCAGGGCCGCTCCCGCAGCATCCGCGTCCCCACGCAGCCTCCCTGTGCCACGCACGACAGCCGCTGCCCGGCCCCGAAGGCGAGCTCCGGGCCTCCGCGCGCCCGCCCGCCCGCGGGGCGGCAGCAGGAGCCGCGCCCGGCCCCGGCCTCGCCGCCCTCCGTGCCCGCTTCTCTCTCACCCGCCGGCCCCAAGGCCAAGGCCAGCAGCCACGGCCCCAGCCCGCCCGCCATCGCGCCCCACCGCGCCGCCGCCGTCTGCCCGGGAGGCGGACGCCAGCGGAGCGGGGCCGCGCTCGGGCCGCCCCTCCTCGGGCCCCGGCGGGGCGGCACCCCCAGCTCCGCTCCGCTCCCGCTCCCTCTCCTCTCCCTCTCCCTCTCCTCTCCGCCCGGCCCGGCTCCGCGGCCCCTTCGGCGGAGGACGGGGCGGCGCGAGGGGCAGAGGCGGGGCGCGGCGTCCCGGCACTCGGAGAATCACAGAATGCAGCGGGTTGGAAAGGACCTCAAGGAACAATCATGAATCTCCAGCCCCTCTGCCACAGGCAGGGCCACCAACCTCCCCATTTAATACTAGACCACGTTGCCCAGGGCCCCATCCAATCTGTCCTTGAACACCACCAGGGGATGGGGCATCCACAGCCTCTCTGGGCAGCTGTTCCAATCTTTCCACTCTCATAGTAAGGAACTTCCCCCTGACATCCAAACTAAATCTTCTCTTCCTCGACTTCAAGCCATTTCCCCTTGTCCTGCAGTTATCTACCCTTTCAGAGTTGACTCCTCTCCTGCTTGTAGGCTCCCTTTAGGTACTGAAAGGCTGCAATGAGGTCGCTCTGCAGCCTTCTTTTCTTCAGGCTGAACAAGCCCAGCTCCTGCAGCCTGTCTTCATATGGGAGGTGCTGCAGCCCCCTGATCTCTTTGTGGCTCCTCTGGACCCTCTCCAACAGCTCCCTGTCTTTTTTGTACTGGGGGCTCCAGACCTGGACACAGTGCTGCAGATGGGGCCTCACAAGAACAGAGCAGAGGGGGACGATCACCTCCCTGTCCCTGCTGGCCATCCTTCTTCTGATGGAGCCCAGGATGCCAAAATCCATGCAAAGAATTTGTGCTCGTGGTGGATGCCAAGAGAAAAGTAGGCTGTTGTGACTGCAGTGCTCTTGTGGAGCAGGATCACAGAGAATAAACAAGGCTGTTCACACACCTAGCAAAGCTAAACTGGAAAATTTACAACTAGCACTCATTGATTCCTTCTGCTAAAGCAATACATTGGTTCTTAAACTAATATACTGATTTTTATTGCTAAACCAGCCTATGTCCATGCCAAACCATAGCCTATATAACTATGTAGACAGGCTGAGAGAGCTGGAGTTTTACATTCTGGTAATTCATTGTTTTCTGCAGTACTCAGATGAGATCTCTGGGTCCCAGGTCATGACTGGGCTGGAGCTGGAAGACAGGGCACTCAATTTCTGCACTCTGCTAGGAGCATGCTGGAGACAGTCCTGGGAGCCCTGTCAGCATCTTGCCCACATCTTGTACCACTCCATGGGCTCTGGTTCTTTTGATTCTGTCTTATAGTTGTGACAATACTGTCACAGGGATCATCTGAATCACAGCCTGACCCTCTGATTGACCACCTGAGGCAAGCAGTGAGTCAGCCCTGGGAGCACAGATGAAAGCAATTCTCCTGTGCTACTGGAAGGGGTGGAGCCTGGCTCCACCATTCCTAGACCCCATTTAAGAGCTGACTACCAGTGGGGAAGGTTCTCTTTTGGAGATTGCTCCTCTTGGAGTCTTCAGAGCAAGCCCAGCGCAGGGGGAAGCTTTCCATCCGTTCTTCTTTAGCGTGATTACTGGTTTAGCCTTACTTTCTTCTATATTCTTTAATTTGAATATTCCATTAATTGGAACAATATTCCATGTGAGGTTTCATAACAGTGGAATAAATGGCTGGAATCACCTTCTTTGCCTTCTGGCTACACTTCTTTTGATTCACGTCCTTCTTCTGATCCATCTCCTACAACACTTCTTCAAATTATCCCAACAAACCTCCATCATCAAGTGATCTTGTGACCAGGCCACGGAGGTAAAACTGGGCCTTGCTAAACTGGAGGCCCAGTTAACACGCACTAGCCTATGGCTCACCACACAGCATCTGAGCTTCCCAGAATACCTCCTTTTGCATCATATAATTTCTCAGCTCTCAAGCTATCCCTTCCTCTACTTGTGAAATACTGCGGCCTGAACAGTGAGCCTTCTTTCAAAGCTGACCTCCAGATGGATCTCACAACCCAGCGCTGTATATCAGCAGTATCCAATCATTAGCGAAATATTTATGATCATTAGTGAAATACATGTCCTGGACAAAACATCTCGTTAGCAAGAGATATGGCTTACATAAAGTGTTATGGGAATGCATCAACGTTTTCTTGCTCACAAGCATAGTGTCACTGCCTACTATTAGACAAAATTCCTTGGTTCCTCCTTGAGCCCTCGCAAGGCTGGGGGTGGAATCTGAAAGGGAGAATGGAGCCAGATGTTTCTGCCTAATTGTCACATAGACTTGTTTATTCAACAATGCAGTGTCTGGATACCCTTGTAGAAAAGATGGAGAACTCACCTATGTGTGGATGCACTGGGCAGGACTTTCCAGTAACTGGGAAAGGCTCTGCTAATCCTCACTGCAACCAGGGATCCCCAGAGATGGTGGATGTGGATACGGCCAAGTGTTAGGGCAATTGGTGTTGTATCTTCCTTCTCACTACAGCTGATCTCATATAGTAATGGGTAGGTGCGTAGCCCTCCTCTGTTTTATTCTTTCTGTATCGTTTCTCTTATCTCATTGCCTTAGACTTAAGTAAAGATTAAAAAAAACCCTCACATTTGGTGTTTGTGAGCTTTGTGCTCACCCCCATCCACTGCCAAAACAGCTGGATGTGAATACATGCTTGGGAAAGCTCTGTCTTCTGCACCTGCAGTTGCATGATACCACCTGATTAGTGTCTGCCCCAAAGGAACACTCACAATTCGGGATCCTCTATCATCACTTCTTGGTCCACTGCTGCAGAGCTGCTGCAGTGTGAACCGAGCACTGCAGTGAAACCCTGCATCTTTCCCTCTCTTTGCTGCTTGGATCTGCAGTGGGAATCTGCTGTGGGAACTCTGCACCGTTCCAGAAAAGTGAAACTTCTGTATTCCTCACCCTCCCAACAAATCCATGTGGCCTCTGCTAGGACTATGCTAGAACAGCTACT